AATTTGATTTTAATGTCATTATGACTCCTATTTGTAAAGGGCGCCACCTACATGTGTTCTTATCTCTCGCTAAGAGTAATCGTTCTCAAGATACTTAGAATGGAAATAGTCAATACATGTCATTATTGACAAAAAAATAAACATGTTGAATAGTTATTTGACTGAAATAATAAATTTGGGAAATATTTTTTTAAATTAATCATAATTTTTCTGCGAAAAAATGATAAGACAGTTTCTGTTGAAGTTTTGGCACAAAAACATTTCAAATTTATCATTTCAGTCTAATAACTATATATTTAGTCAACATGTTTAATTTATGTCAATAATGACAGGTATTGATAATTTCGATTTAAAATATCTCGAGAACCATTACTTGTAACGAATTTTAACAAGAGACCTTTTCTACGTAAAAAATGTCGTAAATGTATGTAATTGTACTCGGTAGTTTTATACAGGTGCGGACAAAAAGTTATTACTCCTTAAACCACTTAAAAAACATGTAGGTGGTGCCCTCTACAAGTAGGAGTCATATTGACATCACAATCAAATTTCTCATATCAAAAAACTCCCAAGCATCAATTTTCATCCAAATATTAACTTTACTTCATAAATTATTTGGAAAAAATCGAAATGAAAATGAAACTTCCACACTCTGTATTTCCGAAACTATAAGCATTTTAGGACATACATATATACGAACTTTTTTAGTTATTTTTATCTGCAGAATATGCTGCCGAAGTTTCCGGAATACAATTTGGACCACCCTGTATAATAATGCTGTTTTTATATAAATATTATTTTCGATTTATTTCTGTACATTTTCTTCCTCAATAGTCTGCAAATTTTGTGGAATTCCTGCTGATGATGCCAACTGCTAACTTATTTAGCAAAATGCGCGTCCAGTGTAAAAGTAAAGTGTTGTTGTGAATTAGTGTTTTATTTTGATGTCGCTTGTCAAAATCTTTTTTGACTCGTTCTGCAGACTAATCACATTGCTCGTGCGAATTGCAAGTTCAAAATTAAACTTAAATTATGTGTAGAAAATATTGATTTTATTATTTCGTTTTTAATAGTTTTAATAGATGCCAATCCTAACTCATGCCGTGAATGAAGGAAATTGAAAATCAAAATCCATCAAACGAAAAAAAAAAACATTAATAATAATGGAGGATCTGGCTGACTTTGACTTTTTGGCCGGTATTTTTTGCGAGAAAATAATCTATTTTCATTGAAAAGCCCGTCGGCCGCCTGAGTTTGTAAACACCGCTTTGGCGTTTTTGTTGCGCCATATAATGGACCGATAATCCAATTTTTCCTCCTAATTAATTAACAATGGACGGAACAGGGGAGAAAAATCGAAAGTAGTCTTTCGGTAATAAATAAATTAAAAGGCCAGTAAAGTTGCCCAATCATTTATTAATAAACGACTCAATTTTAAGTCAAGAATTTGATTAAATACACCGTTACCTGATACCAAAATGATGATTTAGATACTATTCACAAAACATCCTCCTTTAGATTTTAAAATATTTTTTGAAAACAAATTGGATAAGAAAATGGCCGCTAATGGTGTTTTTAACTATTCGTCTATGAAGTTAGGTTTTTCATAATTTTAAAACCTTAAAGTCCGCTTTCTTTGTATGATGTTAAGATTTCTTTAATTTAATAACCTCAAAGGTCAAGATTTCTTGCTTAAGGTATTTTTCCTGCAAGGTGCAAGTTAAAAAATGGGCTATATTATCCCGAAATATGGAAAAAAGCTATTATAATACCTCTCTGTAAAATTTCGAAACCTTTAAATAACAACGATCTAAGACCCGTGAGTATTTTGCCAGAAATTTCTAAAATTATAGAAAAACATCTACATAATCAAATTGTTTCATTTGTAGATTCAAATAAACTAATACCTGAATGCCAATCTGGTTTTCGTAAGAACTACAGCACTACCACTTGTTTACTAAAGCTGGTTAATGATACTAGAACAAATCAAGAAAATAAAAATATGACGTGTCTTAGCTTACTAGACTTTAGTAAAGCATTTGATACTCTAGACCATTCATTGCTCCTAGCAAAATTACAGTATTTTGGATTTTCAGACGGCTCTTTAGAATTGATAAAAAACCTTTTAAAAGATAGATCACATTGTGTTGTCATGAAACGGGGAAGTTTAAAACAAAAATCTAGTTATATTCCTATGATTTCTGGGGTTCCTCAAGGATCTATTCTGGGGCCACTTTTATTTTCGTTATATGTAGCTGATATGGATAAGGAATTACAGTTTTCTAAATTGCAGCAATATGCGGATGATTCTCAAATTTATTGCAGAATAGATACTAATAATTTGGCACAATTTCAGTTAAATTTTAACGACGATCTTAATAAAATTAATAAATATGCTCTAGATCATAATTTGAAATTAAATGCCGGTAAATCTTGTGTTATAGTATTTGGTAGTGATATAAACAAAATTACAAATACGGCTGGTAACATGAATATCCATATAGATAATGTTGCGATACCCATTGTTACAGAGACTAAAAATCTTGGAGTTTATTTTGATTCGAAGCTTTCATTTCAGGCACATATAACTACTAAATTAAAGGCTGCTTATATACGGTTGAAGAATTTTTCGTCTCTTAAGAAATATATACCATCAAAGACTAAGTATCAATTATGTGACACACTTATTTTATCTTTATTTGATTATGGCGATGTTGTTTATGGTACATCCACAAACGCTAGATTCTCTAGAAAAATCCAAATACTTCAAAATTCGTGTCTACGGTTTTCTTTTAACATTCCTTTTAGAGATCATATAACGCCACATCTTAAAAATGTATCTATTTTATCCATGACTAACAGACGACAATTTCATTTAATGACATTCATTATTGAATTTTAACTACAGAGCAGCCTCCCTATTTGTTCTCATTGTTTCACTACGTTGACCATGATCATTCGACTAGACAAGTGCATTATTTTAAAATTCCTCAACACCGAACAGCTAACTTCCAAAAATCTTTCAGTTTCATAGCGCCACATTTGTGGAATAATATTTCTAATAATTTTAAATTTCAATCCGTTACAGATTATAAAAAACAAATTAAAAATCATTTACTAAATTCGTAAATATTATAATTTCTTCGACTGATTTGTGAGATCTTGTTCTTCTGATATGCCGGTCATTGGTTGCTGTTCCGGTTTTTACACTGTGTCTTTATGCCTCTCTGCTTATCTCCGCTCATCCCTGATAAAATTATATTTTCACTTTTTTTATATAATTTTAATTTTTTTAATTCTGTTTATTTTTGTAATTTAATTTACTTCCATTTTGTATTTGGGGTGGCACCACTCTGGCACTTTGTGCCATTGTATCGGTTTTTTAATCGCGGTGCGATCCCTTTAGACACACATTTATTAATACTAATATTATTTTGTAAAACTTAATGGGGTCTAATAAAGAAATTTGAATTTGAATTTGAATTATCGCCAGTAAAACAGAAAACTTTTATTTTCTTTGAGTGACAGTGACAGTTGACAATGATATTTTATGCTAAGTTCGGTAATTACATCTTCGAGCAATCCGATATATATATATATATATATATCCATATTCCATATTATATATATATATATATATCACAGTAATAATTTAATAATTTGTCTTAAAATGAGAATCTTTATTGAGAGTCACGTGATATGTCAAATTTTTATCCTTTTGCTGGCCGATGCAATTACCGAACTGGCCTAAACTAGAACACTAACTAACCAGAAAAGTAAATTAGTTTTCTTTGCTTATTATTTTTTAAAGTTTTTGGGATTGTGAGTGTTATTACAGAGGACTTTTTGTTTTTATTGCACATAATAGACACGTTTACGATTGTGGCGGTAATAAAAAAGAAACGCATTGAACAATCTTTCGTTCCCAACCAGTGGGAACAAGGTAATGTGCTATGACGTAATAATCCCTCGAAAACATTTTTAAACGGAAATCACCCCGAAAAAATTAAAAAAGGTAATTTTTAACCTGCCGTATGTCTGACTTTCTTCCAAGTCAAAAAACTAAGTTACTTTTACCTTTGAAGTATAATAGCGATTTATGAGGTCGAAATAAATTAAATTTTCAACCTAATTTGAACTATTGAAAGTTATTAACAACTAAATTTTAACCTAACTTGAAAACCAAACAATGCCTTCGACCCCCGAGACAAATTTGAGGTTATAATAAAGTAACATTTGACCTACTTTAAGTCCCTGTAGTCTTAATGCCCTCAATAGGTTATCAGTAACTAGATTTTAACAATGCTAGCTAACTCCGACGTTGCTACGTTTCAAAAGCATAATTTTAGGTTAATATTAACTAGTTTACGACCTCATTTTTAGATTTCTCGCACTTTATTCCCTACAAGAAATTTATTAAGTTAAGTATAAGTAAAATTCAACCAAATAGTGGTTAATTTTCCGTGGTTAATGTTTTTTTCTCCTTCCTATGCTACTTGGGTAAAAGCGGTTCTAAAAAGAACAATTTTCGACTGCAAGATCTGGTAGTAAAAAAATTTAGGCATGAAGTATCACAACACAATACACTTACACCAAAAACTCTTAATAAAAAACCAAAGTGTCCAACGAATCAACATACTAGGAAATAAATAAATAAATGAGAGCTACCACCTGAATCGCCAGAGGGAAATCAAAATTCCAGTTAGTCAGCCAGTTACAGAATATGTCTATAGTTGGTAACAATAAATTTAATAATCGCACTTTCGATGACGTAATTAGAAGTTGATTTGGTATCGCTTATATGCATTTATTGATAAACTGCCACTGGGTACACACGACTAACTTTTCAGCTATAACGATAAAAAGTGAGCGAAAAAGTTAAACAAACATAGCGCAAAAACCTCTACTATTCTTTCTGCTCCGGAGCCGAGAATATCCATCACCGACATCATTAATCATATAAAACCTGGAAGAAGGAAAGTTTTATTATATATAAATACCTTGGGAAATAATGTGTCCGTCGTTTTTCGTCCAGTAATTAATAGATTTAGGATAGGCCTCCGAGTGGCACTCCAGAGTGATTTGCTGGCCTTCCATGGCGCCTACCAGCTGGTTCTGGATCCAGATCATTGGCGGAACTGCGGGAAGGGAAAAATAATATTATTTTTGTTTAGCTCTGCAGTTTTTTTGTCGATTTTAATGGAGTTTTTAAAGGATTTTCTCGTTAAAATTACATTAGGTAGAGAGAAAAATGAGAGCGAGTATTTTTTATATACAGCATGTATCAAATATATTTTTTGTTCAGCTATACAGGGTGCTACAAATTCGAGGTACGAGCATTGTTATCTCGGAAACCGTAATAGATACGAAGATGGTTAAATTGGGACAAAGTTGCTCCTTGGCATGTTCACCAAGATGCCATCAAAAAAGTTTTAAAAATATCAAGGATTGATGAGTTTTTTTTTAAAAAACTGATTTTTTTGAAAATCAATTTTATTTTTTTCTGTCGTTATTTTTTAGAAAATCAAAAAATTAATTGCTCAATCTCATACCCACTTTATTAGGGCTATCTGATAGTATTTTTAGATTTTCAAATTACCTGATAATTTGTGAGATACAGCATTTTTTATTTCAAGTTTTGAAAGTACTCGGTCTCCTGAGTACAATGATATGCTACACTTAATATTTTTTTTGTTTCGGACATTTGAACACAATTTTTTAAACTAATTTCAAGTCCGGCTCTATTTTTTTTTTAATTATAATCTGTTATAAGCTTTCAAACTTAACAATGACGTGGTGAAAATCAAATGCAATAAAATAATATAAAATAAGTAATATAAATATTGGAAATGGTAGAGCAGTATAATGACCAGCGAGGTTCTGGACCTGTCGCCAAGGAGCAGAGGGGAGGGGGTCTTGATGTCATTTGTAAAAAGTGAAATCAATACATTTCAAACATTTACAATAAAGAATACAAAATGCATTCGGAAGTATAAAAAGAAGATATGTTCAAAAAGTTATAAATAAGATTGAACGAAAAATAAATTTGTTCATTAGGGTGGTAACCCTTTCGAACATGTAGAGCATTAGAAACTAGTTTGTGTAGAAGTTGATTTATTTATAATAACTACAGTTAATATTCAAATTCATAAAGAAAAAAAGTTAAAAATAATATCTTTACATCGCTGACCTGGATATTACTTATTTGAATCTTTCAATTGGCTCGATTTTCCTTATTGAATGATAATTAGCGCTGATCAATATTGTTGCGATGAATATAATCAGATTAAATAATTTAAAAAAACCAGAGTCGGATTTGAAATCTTCTTTCAATTAATAATTAAATAGTTTTGTTCTTGTTAAGGGACCCAAAATTAAAAAAAAAAAGTAATCAGCTAATTTGAAAATCTAAAAATACTATTAGATAGCCCTAATAAAGTGGCTATGAGAATGTGTAATTAGTTTTTGGATTTTCTAAAAAGTAACGACAGGAAAAAATAAAATTTATTTTCAAAAAAATCTGCTTTTTCCAAAAAACTCAGCAATCCTCGAAACTTTTAAAACTTTTTGATGGTATCTTGGTGAACAGCCCAAGGCGCAACTTTGCCATAATTTAACTATCTTCGTATCTATTACGGTTTCCGAGATACCAATGCTCGCACCTTGAATTTGTAACACCCTGTATAGGTACTTTTTTATTTTGATGGAGTTTTCAAATGTTTTTCGTGTTAAAATTTTATTATGTAAAGGGGAAAATAAGGGTAATTATAAAATATACACTAGAACTGCAAGCTCACAAACAACTTAGGTCTTTTTTTTTATTTAAATCAGTTTAATGTCATTTGATTTTAAGAAATTTTTCGAAAGCTGACGATAAACAAAATTTATATTTTTATTTACGGTTTCGAGGGCTGTAACTTTCTTGGAAAGCATTTTAGGACATAGAAGTTTTAGTTCATAAGAAGTTTTTGTTTTATTCTTGTCGGTACCTACAATCCACCAAATTTAGATGCAGTATTTTTTGATACTCTGTATACGCATGCCTCTTCATCTTTCTTGTTTTTAAATTTTTTTATTTAAATAATATATGACAACAAAAGAGTAATTATATGATTAGACCAAGGTAGAGCAAAATACAAACAAGCATGTTTATTAAATTTATTACATTAAACATAATTTTAATACTTACAATGTATAATAAGCATTATTCTTTTGCTGACGGATGGTGGAACACCATTTGAAGCTATACACAGATACGGACCCATATGGAGACGGTTCACTTTGCTGATGTTTAGAACTGGACCCTCAAAAGTGGGCACTGAAAAGAAATTTTATAAAATTATACCATTAAGATTTTGCTTTTTACAAATTCATTAAAAACCAAAAAAGTATAGAGGGTGAGTCGAAAATAATTTCAGGGCTGGTAGATCTCGCTAAAAGAATCATATTTTCTCTTTACCGTTTTTAAAATAAGACCAGAATAACCGAGTTATTCAAGTTTGAAAATAATAGTTATTTCTGGTACTAGTGTGTTATCTTACATATAAGTCACGCTGGGAAATGAATTTTCTCAAGTGACATATGTTATAACACGCGAGTGTAATACAAAATTTTATCCAACAGCAGAACTGTTTCATGTCCAATCTCTAAAGAATAATTGATTTAAAAGGATCTACCAGTTCTACTTTCATTGTTGCAAATTATAAAAATAGGCATATCCAATAATATAACTACACTGACGTATGAATTCCTAAGAACTGATTCGTACGTATAAAGTTTGGTATGAATTTGCATCACATGTAAACGCTGCCTTACTAAAACTTTTCAGCATGTGCTTGACGGTCTTCCAAACAAAACAAAATGAACAAAAAGTAGATTTATTGTCATTTCACTCTTCTGCTTTCTCTCTGGCTGTCTCAAGCGGCAGAGAAAATGAAGAGAGGTCCTCACCTTAATTGAAATATAATGAGAATTGCCTACCCACTCTGAATTTTATATTCCACAATTCTTTTTTTTTTCATTCAGATCCAAGGATGTGTTGACACAGTAGTATAGTACAATTCTTTTAAAAGTTTCTCAATATGGCTGACCTAGTTACGAAAATTGGTAATTTTTTTTAATGAAAAATCAGTTGGCGTTAGCGTATTCAGAATTTATTTACTCTTTGGTTACCAACAACATTTTTCAGGATTGTCAAGTTGACGTTAAAGTTAGGTTATTAGGTTGTTGTTAGAAATAAAAACATAGATTATTGAAATTATTTAAATAAGAATAAAGGTATTTTACTGAAGATCGGAAGAGATTTTACTTAAAGGTATTTTATAAACTTTCTCAGTGAGAATATTAACTCCCCTGTTTCTTATATCTCGGAATAAACGGACATAACAGCTATAGGAAGTGAATTTTTGTTTTCATGTTTTGACGATATTCGAGAGTTCCTAGAGTTATCAAGATTATTGAATAATTATAATTGTTTAATAAGTGAAATTAATAGAAGACTGAGGATGATGGGTTTCATGTTATAGTTGATAGATCACCCCATTTCTCTTAATTTATGTTTTTATTTCAGTACAGTTAATCACAAATTGAATTGATATGTCTGCAAAAACAGCTATATATTTTTAAAAATCTTATTTAGATAGTTCTTTTATATATACTGTTAAACTGTATCATCTATACAAAGTCTTTAGCAAAAAGTTATAAGGTAATACATTTTGCAGATATAATTTTCGAAAATTTATATATAAAGATTAGAACACAATCCTCTGAGGAAAAAATGAAATATTCAAAAACTCATTAAATACACTTTATTAAAAATAACAACATACAAAAATAGTCATCCATGCAAACTGTAATAATCAGAACATTATCCACATTATACCTTTATTAAATTTGTGTTCACACTTCTGTCAGAAAAGCCAGAAATGTTTGTTTAAATATTAACTTATTTTAAATTGCTAGAAACACATCAGAATATGTCACAACCACAACTATAGGTTTGAAATCAGTACTAAATTTTATACCTAGTAAGTGATACCTAGTAACTAACAAGTATAGGATAAAAAAGAATTATTATCTCCTGCTTATTTATGATGTGACTTTTCTTTCAAATGTGAGGAATACCGGTAAAATAAAACATAATGTTTGGTTTGGTTTAGTGTTTGATATTCTAACTACATTTATTACAAACCTTAAGTGCTTTTAGTGAGTAGTAACTGTATTTCCTATTATTCTTTGTGTATCCTGTATAAAATAGAAATAATTCTGGTAATTAAATAAAAACAAATATTTAATACTTTACTATCAGAATATAAACAAAAATAAAAAAAATAATGTTCTTTAAAATCAAAGAAGCGATTGCCATACATTACTAACATCTACAGATGCATGAGCAATACATTTATTTTTATTAGATTGTATTAAAAAAGCCTCTTTTACTTTTCTTTTAGAGGCTATCGCTTCTTTCATTATGATTTTGGCGTTGTTAAAATCTATTTTGTGCCCTGTGTCCCATGATTCCTGACAAATCTTAGATTTGTGAATGTCGCCCTTTCTTAAATAATCTTTATGTTCTTTAATTCGAACATTTAATAGTATTTGATTTCGCTCATTTTAATACAAATATTTCTAAAACCATTTGGCACAGAAACCATATGATCGAAAAAAAGACGGCGTCAGCGATGGCTATGAAATGAAGATCGCTGTCATTTAATATGTAAAATTATATATGAGGAATGCCATCGATGTTCATTTTCAAGCCAACTGGACGCCGTTTTTTTTTCGATCATACGGTACTTATACATTATTCTTTAATACTGCAATGACAGTTCCTCAATCATATACGAATAGCTGAAATTTCAGAAAAATATTCAGTATGTTTCCGGATCGTTTTAAAAGAGTGAAAACTTTTCAGAAAACTGCATTTTTTACAAAAAAATGATTGTTTTGAAAAATTGTTAATGCTGTTAATACTTTTACGTTTTGGTGTAAAAAATTTGGTTAAATTTTTTCTAGGTCTACTTCTTTTTACAATTTTTTTTGTACGTCTTGTGTCCTATATGTTATTTATTAGAAAGTATTTTCTGTCTAAAAATTCATTGTACTTTACTTTAGTTTTTAGTAAATTCATTTGAGATCTACTTTAGTAGACTATATTCTACCAAATTTACTACGGTAACAACCCTGTTTTCTGAAGTGGCATTTGAAAGATCCGTTTGTAATACAAAACAGAAGAGAATAATTCGCCAATCTCATTATTGTTCATAACTACAGCCGCCATTTTTGCATTTCCCCCACCAACTTTACCTCCCCATCTCCCACCTCACTCTTCTACATCCCCCGTTTTTAATAACTTTGCCGCGGTTTTGCCTTTGTGCAGCGTTCTAATAAAAGGCCCCCGTTCGTGTTTTTAGACTCTTTTTCCAGCAATTTTCAGTTATTATTAGCTAAGCACGGTAGCTAATTTTCTTTTATGAGGATGTTCGTTTCTAAGTAGCCAAAAAATTAATAAGTTTGTAGAAAATATCAAACAACCTAAAGAGCCAAGTTTTATCTTAATACTTACTGAACATCAATTTGGATTTCTAAGCAACAAGTCCAGAAATGACGCTATGTTTTCCCTCCTTAATAAAGTTTACTCCAGCCTAAATAACCATCATTCTACAGCAACAATTTTCTGTGATTTTTCTAAGGCGTTCGACTGTGTAAATCATAAGATCCTAATTAATAAACTGCAGCACTATTATGGGTTCAGGGGAACATCTCTCGAATGGTTTAAGTAGTATCTGAGCAACAGAAGTCAACTTGTGAGGGTGGATACCACGTTGTCTTCTAGCAAGCCAATAGAATGTGGATTACCACAAGGCTCAGGCCTAGGCCTTATTTTGTTTCTTTTTTTTATTACCGACATTGCTAACATAAACATCAGTGATAAAATATGTCTTTTTGCGGATGACACTAGCTTCACTTGGAGCAACAAGGACGTCACGGCAGTTTATAGGATTATATCAAATGACTTAATCACCATTAAATCTTGGTGCGATTCGAACCTCCTGAGTCTCAACATTTCTAAAACTAAAGCTTTGTCGTATAAAAACTCGCTGCAGCCTTTTGTACTTAACAAGAACACCATTGACGTCGTAAAATCTGAAAAATTCTTAGGGCTTGTTGTAGACAATTCTCTAAAATGGGACATGCATATCGACGCTTTGTCGAAAAAATTAACCTCTGTCTGTTTTGCATTAAGATCTGTTTCTAAGGAGTTTAACTTGTGGGTGGCTAGAACTGTTTATTATGCACTTTTTGAGTCGCACCTCAGATGCCCTTCCATTCTGGGGTGCGTGTTGTGCGACTCAATTTGACAGCATTTTTAAGCTCCAGAAGAGAGATCTTCGATATTCACTGGGACTAATCAGCAGAACTCATTGACAGGACGTTTTTAAAAAATTAAAAATATTAACTCTTCCTTCCTTATTTATATTTGAATCCGTTTACCTAATACGTCAGCTTCTCAAGAAAGGCCATCTCACACTTATCCACTCAGGAACGCGGAGCAAGATCTTTATCTACCTACCCCACGCTCAGAGTTAGTTAAAAGTTCAATATTAAACAACTCGAAAAAAATGCACAATCACCTGCCATTTGAAATCAAATCCATAACATCGTTTTCTTCATTTCGCAAAGCATTTAAATCTTATTTACTAGACAAGGCTTTCTACGCCGTAAATGACTTATATTTTGATAATCGAATTTGATCTTGTAAACACTGGTCTAATGTTTGCTATTACTATATTTACCAATGACATCGAAATAAATAAAACTAATAAGTAGAATGATACTAAAGGATAAATAAATCCAAAAACATCTGATTTGATCTGACAGTGACAAGTGACAAGTGATGATCAAAGATATAGAGAGGTCGACAAAAAGCCTACTTCCGGGGCGCGTCCAGTGACAATATTGTGGAGCTATAGTTGTGTATATCGGGTTGCATAATCGTAAAATTTAAATAAAATAATATTTAACAATAAATTTATAGTAAACATGATGCAAAAATAATAGCTATTTGCGATATTTTATGAGCTAGCACACAGAGGTCGTAGCGAGGAAATTTGACTGTTATAAGACTGTAATATCTGTTGTATCGTTTTCTTGTACCAAATAAAATAACGCGCTCTTTTATTTCGGATTCTTTTATTTCTGTGGTGCGTTCTGAAATACAACCGGTTATATAATTTTGAATAGTCTCGAACATGCCCGAAAAATGTTTCTAATTTGCTTTAAACGTTTTTTGAATTTTCAGATAAAAGTTTTAAATGC